TATTTGTTGCAGCCTAGTGGAGGCTGGAAAAATAGCTGAAAGGAAACTAAATTCTCCTGGTTTACCTCGTGGGACTGATCAGTAGGCAAGTTGGCTTTTTAACTTCTTGCCCAGGATCCGATCAATGATTCTCAAATCTGGCATTGTTTTGGAAGAAACAATAGAAAATAAATATTGCGTCTTTTTGTTCATTGCGTTTTACGGTAATATGTTTGACAGCTTTGACAGCAAAAGTGAATATAATATATATAGAAAGAAAAGAAAAAATATTGTAATGCTCAAGGTAAAATGCAGAAGAGTTTAGATGGATTGGAAGCTGTTTTGAAGAGCCAACATGATATAGTGGGTTGAATGACCATCTCCAGTGTTGGGAGGTTCGAGAGGTGGCATTTGGTCAATGCGAGTAACCTGGTGACTTCCTGCAGATTTTCTTCTCCTTTGGGACGGGGATATGGTATAATTGTAAAAACAAAACTTTCTTAGTGATAGAATTCCTTCAGATGTGATAAGACATTTTAACAGAATTGTAAAGCATTGAGATACTGTATGGTCAGTTGCTAATTCCACAGTTGCAGTACAAGTGTGCAATGATTAAAAGTATATGCAGAGACTGAATTAATTGAAACATATTTTTAGCAAAAACAAGAAGCACCTAGGAGGAAATTGGTGAGTCATTTTCAGTCCACATGCAGTTGATGTGACTAGCTATTGCCAACAGCAGCACTGAACCAGTCAGTATTAGTTACAGACCAATCTGTGTAAGCAGATTTTGCATTAGCTACTCTATTATTAAACAAACTACAACTCACTGGGTGAAGAAATTGCCTCCTGAAGTTTTAATTTCCTTCATTGCAAAGCTGCTCTGTCTTTCTGTGAAAATGTATTAAAAAGGAATTAATAAGCAGCAGCAGAATTTTGATGTGGGGTGGCAATCACGCTTTCTTGGAGAGAAAGAAGTACAAGTAATACAGAACAGAGAAAATCCTGTTTTATTTTTTGTTTTCTTATTCATTTGTGGGATGTGGGTGTAGCTGGCTGGCCAGCATTTATTGCCCTGTTCTAGTTCGCCGTTGAGAAGATGGTGGTGAGCTGCTGTCTTGAACTGGATATTGATCAGATCTTGTTGCATTTGAACATGGACTGCTTCAGTATCTGAGGAGTCATGAATGGTGCTGAACATTGTGCAATCATCGACGAATATCCCCACTTCTGACCTCGTGATGGAGGGAAGGCCATTGATGAAGCAGCTGAAGATGGTTGGGCTGAGGACACTACCCTGAGGACCTCCTGCAGAAATGTCCTGGAGCTGGGATGATTGACCTTCAACAACCACGACCATCTTCCTATGCGTTAGAAATGACTCCAACCACCGGAGAGATTGCCCCCTGATACCCACTGATTCCAGTTTTGCTTGGGCTCCTTGATTACACACTCGGTCGAATGCAGCCTTGATATCAAGGGCTGTCACTCTTACCTCACCTCTGGAATTCAGCTCTTTTGTCCATATTTGAACCAAGGCTGTAAATGAGGTCAGGAGCTGCGTGGCCCTGGTGGAACCCAAACTGGGCGTCACTGAGCAGGTTATTGCTGAGCAGGTGCTGCTTGATAGCACTGTTGATGATATCTTCCATCACTTTACTGATGATTAAGAGTAGACTGATGGAGCGGTAATTGGCCTGCTATATATCCACATGACATATCTGGGCAATTTTCCACATTGCCGGGTAGATACCAGTATTGTAACTATACTGGAACAGCTTGGCTTGGGGAGCAGCAAGTTCTGGAGCACAAGTCTTCGGTACTATTGCCGGAATGTTGTCAGGGCCCGTAGCCTTTTCAATATCCAGTGTCTCCAACCGTTCTTTGATATCACGTGGAGTGCATCAAATTGGATGAAGTTTGGTATCTGTAATGCTGGGAATCACTGGAGGAGGCCAAGATGGATCATCCACTTGGCACTTCTGAATGAAGAAGGCTGCAAAAGCTTCAGCTTTAACTTTTGCACTGGTGTGCTGGGCTCTTTCATCATTGAAGATGGGGATATTTGTGGAGCCTCTTCCTCCAGTGAGTTGTTTCATTGTCCACCAGCATTCACGTACGGATGTGGCAGGACTGCAACTTATCTGTTAGTTGTGGGATCGCTTAGCTCTGTCTGTCACTTGTTGCTTATGTTGTTTGGCATGCAAATAGACCTGTTTGGTGGCTTCACCAGGTTGACACCTCATCTTCAGGTATGCCTGGTGCTGCTCCTGGCATGCCCTCCTGCACTCTCCTTTGAACCAGGGTTGATCCCCTGGCTTGATGGTAAGTTTGAGTGGGGGATATGCCGGACCATGAGGTTACAGATAATGCTGGAGTACAACTCTGCTGCTGTTGATGGCCCACGGTGCCTCATGGATGCCCAATCTTGAGCTGCAGATTTATTTGAAGTGTGTCCCATTTAGAATGCTGTTAGTGCCACATGACAAAATGGAGGTTATTCTCAATGTGAAAGACTGTGTGTTGATCATGGACAGATGCATTTGCAGCTGGCGGATTGGTAGGGATGAGGTCAAGGATGTTTTTCCCTCTTGTTTATTCCCTCACCACCTGCTGCAGACCCAGTCTAGCAGCTATGTCCTTTAGGAACCAACCAGCTCAATCATTAGTACTGCTGCCAAGCCTCTCTTGGTGGTGAACATTGAAATCCCCCACCCAGAGTATATTTAGTGCCCTTGCCGTCCTCAGCGCTTCTTCTAAGTGTTGTTCAGCATGAAGGAGTACCAATTCATCAACTGGAGGAGGACAGTACGCCATAATCAGCAGGATGTTTTCTTGGCAATATTTAACCTGAAGCCACGAGACTTCATGAGGTCTGGAATCAGTGTTGAGGACTCCCAGAGGAACACCCTCCTGACTGTATACCACTGTGCTGTCACCTCTGCTGGGTCTGTCCTGCTGGTGGGACGGACATATCCAGGGGTGGTATTGGTGGTGTCTGGGACATTGCTGTAAGGTATGATTCCATGAGTATGACTATGTCAGGCTGTTGCTTGACTGGTCTGTGAGACAACTCCCCCAATTTTGGCACTAACCCCCAGATGTTAGTAGGAAGACTTTGCAGGGTCGATGGGGCTGTTTCTGCTATTGTCTTTTCTGGTACCAGGTTGATGCCAGGTGATCCATCCGGTTTCATTTCTTTGAGACTTTGTAGCGAGTGATACAACTAAATGGTTTGCTAGGCCATTTCAGAGTATAATTGAGGGGCAACCTGATTTCTGTGGGTCTGGGGTCACAAGTAGGCCAGACCAGGTGAGGATGGCAGATATCCTCCCCCGAAGGACATTTGTGAACCAGGTGGGGTTTTCCGACAATCGACAATGATTTCATGGTCATTAGTAGATTCTTAATTCCAACGTTTTTTTTGTTGAATTCAAATTCCACCATCTGACATGTTCAAATTCGGGTCCTCAGAACATCAGCTGAGTTTCTGAACTGATAGTCTAGCGATAATACCACTAGACCATCACTTCCCCTGATTGTTTCAATTAAACTCCTGGTTTTCCATCTGTTTTAATACACTGAATTTTTGCAGTGTTTTTCTGTCCTCAGAATGCTTAGAGGTGCTGTACAGCCAATCAAATATTTTTGAAGAGGAATCTGTGCTTTAACATTGGAAATGTAGCCAATAATTTATGCAGAGCAAGTTTACACTCTTAACAAAGCTATAAATATCGATCAGGACATTAGGCAGATTCCCAACTGTTCTACAGAGTAGTGCCATAGGATCTTTTCGCCTTCCCAAGAAGGCAGAAGGGGGCCTCTGTTTAATTTCTCAATTGAAACTTGATATGTTTGATAGACCAGCACTCTTTCAACACTGTATTGGAGTATCAACCTTGATTAGATACTCAAGGCTCTGGAATGAGATAAAACCTGCAGCCTTTGATTCAGAGACAAGACAGTTGGTTCTCCATGAGGCAGGCTGGCACTTAGATGACAAATGCTAAACAACAAGAAAATTAAATGCTAAACAGCAACCTCACTGAGTGTGAAATACACTGTGACAGTTGAGAACAGATACCTACAGCTTCCAATTGCCCACGAGCCTGACCAAGAGTTAGGTTTGTGCTGAACCTCAGCTGTCCAGTATGTAAAAATGGAGTGGTTTCTGGGATGGCAGTCAAGCAATTAGGTGGTGTTTTACTCCTGAGTAGCAAGTTGAAAACTTACCCAGCAATTGCCTTGCTTTATGAAGTTATATTAACTAACACAATGGGTGAGATGTGGTTGAGGAAACTGATGTAATTGGAAGATCAGAGATAGTAGGAACTGCAGATGCTGGAGAATCTGAGATAACAAGGTGTAGAGCTGGATGAACACAGCAGGCCAAACAGCGTCAGAGGAGCAGGAAGGCTGACATTTCGGACCGAGACCCTTCTTCAGAAATTGGAAGATCACCCGTTTTAGCAAAGTCTTGGTGCGGGAAATGGCACTGCCCCCCATGAGGGGTTCCTATTATGTCAGAATTGCTATTCTGAAATCACATAGTGGCCCCTCCATTGAGGATCCCAAAGATGATTTCCTCTTCAATTTATTGTGGAGTTCTGGGAATGTTTTCTTCAATTCCCACAGTCAGGATTGACCAAACTTCATACTGTGACTACCAGGCAACTGAGACAGTGATTCCACCCTGTTTTCAACAGCGAAGAGTGAATGGTTAATGTGTTTAAGTCTGCAGTGGAACTGAAGAAAATATTAGACGCTGCTTTTTATTTGGCAGAAATATTACGGGTTGTGAAAGCAGGCAGATAAATATGACTCTATGACTCATCATCAGGACTACCTGTAACCAAAAATGATGAAAATCCAATCACTATTTTGTATAGAGGTGTCAGTTTATCATTAGAGGATGGGAAGTTTAATCGTTTATTGATGACATTGGTTCTATTGACAGATGTATTTAGTTATTTGAAATATCATGGCCCCAATATCTAACCATAATTTTCTTTTTATTTTAGCACTTAATGTGTGCTGGTCTATGGTGCCTGGTAGAAGGGGATAAACGGTGCAAAACAAAATTGGATCCTCCTCTGGATGGTACAGAATGTGGTGTTGATAAAGTAAGTTAACGATCTGTGGACATCCAATATGTTCACACTTCAGTAGTTGTATTGTTTCTGTGTATTGCTATGATGCAGTCACAGAATCATTAAAAGTTAATTAAATCCTGCTGTGTCATTTCCACAAAATCCAGCAGGACATTTATGTTGGATTATAACATGCTATTTTTAAATGTTTTTTCCATCAGCTTTCTTCAAGTTAGCTCCTGTTGCAAATGATTACTTTTGGAGCTACCTTCCTTTCCATCATTTTACAGGTGTTAGGGGAGCTGTTGCGTGGACGTTCTGCCCATTCCCCAGTTGATACCTATAAGTGGAGAATTAATGCCTGGTCCCCAATGTACGTCCTAGCAGATTTAATGCTGGACCATGCTGGCAATTAAGTGGAGGCGGAGTGGTGTTCATGCTCAATCCCTGGTGTCAATTGAAGGGCTTTCCCCATGGTTTTGTCTCCCTTCCCTGCTCTGTCCATATTCCTCCCACTCTCCTTCACTGGGTTCTGACCCCTGCGAGATCCTTTCCTTACCTGTATTTCAGGGCCTAACATTGAACAGTACCTACCCTACCTTGCTTTACCTCAAGCACGAACTGGTGCTGCCAGTGTGCAGAACTGCTGGCCTGTATATGATCATCAGCTTCAAGAAGTGAGCCATTCCTCTGGAGACAAATATGAGTCCAGCCTCAAAACAGCTACAGGTTTGTCACCTGTAAAATTAAAGCAGCATGAACCAGATAAGCGCAGGGAAGCTTGCCCTGATGTTTACACTGGAGTCTGAGGAGACAGTCCATGGCATTAATCAAGACCCACCCCTGATACTCTTCAGCCTGAGCCTTAGCCTCCAACCTTGAGTTTTGATTAAAACCAGTTATCCTCATCACTGGCTGTTACTATTCTACCACTGTCACTTTTTTCCCAACTTGCTACAAGTTCCTTGTCTCTCTCAAAATCATAAAAAAGTGCCTTCCATGAAGAAATAGTTCTAATTAAAGGAATAATTGAAGATTATCTTCAATGAATAAACAACAATTTGTAATCAACCAGTGACTGGAATGTTGTAGAGAGGAGTAGGGTTGCCAATAAATGAGCCGTCTCTCAACTTCTTAAAATAAGTGGTGATTTCTGTCACAGCAGCCACAAAGCAGACCAGTTAGCTATATCAGAGATAGTAAGAACTGCAGATGCTGGAGCCAGAGATAACAGCATGGATATTGAGGAACACAGCAGGCCAGGCAGCACCAGGGGAGCAGGAAAGTTGATGTTTCGGGTCGGGACCGAACCTTTCTGATGAAGGATCCTGACCTGAAATGTCAACTTTCCTGCTCCTCTGATGCTGCCTGGCCCGCTGTGTTCCCCCAGCTCCACACTGTGTTATCTCAGTTAGCTATTTACTGCCCTGACATATGAATTACTTTGACTGCTGGATTGTTTGACCATAGAGTGTATCCAGAAAGTGATGTGTGATGAACATGTCCCCTCCCCCACAAGCAGTGGCTGGCACCAACCTTTCAAACTTGGAGAAGTGCCCAGATCTGTAGAAAGACATTCCTTAACATGAAGGGACTGTTGAATTTTGTGAAATATCATGATGCTTAAGTGTAAAATGGTGATGGGTCCAACTTACGCTAAAAATTCTGAAATATTTATGCATTTTGTTTAATTAAGGCTCAAGCTGTTACCCTGTGGAAAGTCTGAGAAACTATATTGTTAATAGCTTCCTTTGATAAAACATGACTGAATCAGTGAGTCTGACACACAGAAGAAGGAAAGAGAGAATTTTAGAAAGAGATAAAGGATCAGATGCCAAGAGGAAGAAAACAGTAATAGAAAGAGTGAAGATAAGGGAAGAGACAGAAAACTAAAAGAGAACATTACAACAACAGTGAGCAATAACATTTTTATATCAGTTGATGGACCGGTGAAGTTTATACATTTCCTGTTCATGAGCAACAAAAATCTCAGAATGAAACAGGAGCACTTATATATCAGAGGTTTGCTATATTGTTGAGTTGTGGATTGTAACTGGCAAATTCCAAGTTAACAAGGTGCAGGGCTGGATGAACACAGCAGGCCAAGCAGCATCATAGGAGCAGAGAGG